GATTGAACAGCCTAGGGTTGTGAATAGCAAACAAACATCCTGGTTTATATATATATATAGGTTAAACCAAGCAGAGACCATACATACTAGTCTGTCTATGGAAAGAAGTGACTTGAGAGAAACGTCATGCATTATGTCACTTCAGTTAAAGCAATCAGCACATTCCCTAATAATGTCAGCACTTTTTGCTTAATATGTCAGAGAATGTGTGAATTTTATTTTATTTTCTCTCACTAGATAACAGAACAACTTTTCCATTAATTATGTTATTTTTTTATAGCATGTAATATCTGTAAAGAACAACTACTATAGCAAACTTCCTTATACAGTGGGTGATCGGTTAACGAACAGATCAATTAACAGACAAATCGGATAACGAACATTTTTGCGAAAGATTTTTATGATCGGACAACGAACTCATGTTCGAATAACGAACACTTCACTGAACAGACACAAGAAGAAGCGACGTAAAATAACGAATACCGATTGGTCTTCCTTTGTCTTCAGGCAACAATTCGAAACTTTTCGGAGCACGGGAGATGTCGACATCATGTTCAACCCAGTGTATATTGATCGGATAGTATTCCCCCCGAACTTTGAAACTCTCCCATGTAATTCCAGCCTTTTATATTTCTGATAGAAACAATCCTTTTATGTTTTCTTCTGAAAAAGAGGATTGATGCCGATATCTGCTATTAAAGATCTTTTGAAGAAGTGGGAGGACGTTAGAACAGCGGTCTTAAAATGGCATCCAAACCAGGTTGAGGTTAATAGGCTTAGGGATCTCTACAATTACAATGCGATTAATTACTTCTGAAAAATCACGAAGAAGACAGAAAAGCAATTGACATTGGACAGATTTTTTAACCCCCAAAAACGGAAAAAACATGACAAATAAATATACAAGACTGTGTATATATGTATTTTTATTATTACATATGAATAAACGTAGTAAGAAAGTATATATTTTTTATTTTTTGGGAGTCTCCAGAACGAATTAATCAAATTCCCATAGAAACCTATGGTAAATCGATAATCGGTTAATGAGCAATTCGGATAGCGAACAAAGTCTTGGAATGGATTATGTTCGTTAACTGATCACCCACTGTATTCCAATACCAGAACATGAAGCTTCCATAACACTAAAAAATAAAAATTGCCAGGACAATAATGACATTTATAGAAAATATATTTCTTTTTTGACTATACATACATAGATGAGTCTTTGTCTATTTTCTGTCCCTTCACACGCTGTACGAGGCAATAACAAATTCCACTGGTGAAGTCAACCTTTTTATGTAGGCTACCATTCGCCATAAAATTTTGCTATGCTACCACTAGAGGATGATGATAACTATTTATTTTATGGTGAATGGTAGCCTACATAAAAAGGTTGACTTCACCAGTGGAATTCGTTATTGCCTTGTACAGCGTGTGAAGGAACAGAAAATAGACAAAGACTCATCTATGTATGTATAGTCAAAAAAGAAATATATTTTCTATAAACTTCCATAACATTATTTATAATAGTGGTGACATGTTTAACAAATGAGAAAGAAACCAGAAGTACCTTCCACAACTAAGCAATCAATGGCTGATGCTCATTGGTTAATACCCAAGTTGATTCTTTTCATAGACATTATAATCTAATAATTAAGCTGATTATTACAGTAGATGAAAAATATTGCCTGACAATAATTTTATTATTGAGCCACATTTTGATTAATTCATATAGAATGTTCTGGAATGAAACTCATATACAACTTACGCTTAATGTGCAGTTGAATTGCCAATTATGTTGCCTGGAGCTTCAGTTCCTGGATCTTTCTTTAAGACAAATTGATGTAGAAGATATTGCTCACTTAATCCAAATTATGTAGCATTTATATATTTAATTACAAAATGTATGGTGATAATACAAATTCAGCTTGATTATTTGATTAATAAATAAGATATTTTAATTTCAGAATTGAAACTTAACATAAAAGAACAATAATGATTAATTATTTCATGAGAACATTTTTAAAATAAATCTGTTCAATTCTTTAATAATACAATTTTATCAAATACTTAATGAAAACTAACTTACAGATCAAATAAAACATACCAATTATATTTTATTACTATTAATGATTTAGTATATAATTCAAATTATGGCCATTTGTAAGAAATCAAAATTTGATGATCTAAAATCTGTCGGAAATGCTTATTAAAATTTGACATGAAATGCATAGTTTTCGATTCAACAGAATATACTTGAAATTATATCACTGTAATGTTTTTAACTATAAAAGCTTCAGCATTAGATGTAGTTTATGATGGCTGTTTTTTTTTCAATGCTTATGGAATTATCATAATACCTTACATAAAACATTGAACTTTTATGATAATTTTTGTGTAAAATTCAACTTGAACATATTTTTTGTTGACATAGTAATTTTTTATTTTTATTTTTTGTAATAGGCATATTTAATCCTGTAGTGTTAAAATAAAAAAATATATAGTTGGTATGTTGAAATTTTGGATATATATAATTTAAAATTTTTCAGTTTTTGTAATTAAATCAATTATATGATAGTAACTATATTTAATTTTGTTATACTTTAATTAACTAAATTAAAATATAACAAAATCATTTGAAAATTATTACAAACTAGAAGATCATGCAGTAATGTGATTCTTCTACATATCACATAAGAATGCAATATAACTTTAATATTAGATTTGTTAAATTTGAATAGGACGAGATGATATCCTGAAAATTGTTGGAATTATTATTAAATTGTAATGTTCAAACTTCTCCGTTTTTATTTGAGATTATAAAAAATATAGTAGAAATGTATTTGCTTTAAAAAGAACAGTATTATAAGAAATTATCTTGAACAATTTTTATACCTTGATTTAATTTTTCTTATTTTTTATAATTTAATTTAATTCTTTTTATTTTGCATTACAGAAAATAATTCACTTTTAGTATATCCTGACAGATAAATATGCCTAACAAGGTTGCAACCATTCTGTTATCTCAGATATATGATTTGTTGTGTTGGTGCTTTAAATTATATAGAATAATACAGAGCATTATCCACAATAATGACTGTATTGTTGTGTATATTTAAGAGCAGATTGTTTTTAAACCATTCATGAAAATAAGCACCATTTATTTTGTCATGATAATCTTGAAATTTCATTTTTGACAAAAGTAAAAGAGGTAAAATTTGGGATGAAATGAGTATCACTTTCAGTGTGACACAAAATAAGATGGCACCCTTTTCTGTAGATGTTTGACACTCATGAATTGTATTATCATGCTTTGTTTTTTGTTCATAACACAGTCATTATTATGGATAATGCTCCATATCATTTTGTAGAAAATGACAAAGCACCAACAGCAGCAAACCATAAATTCTAAATAATGGAATGGTTGCAACCTGGCATACATACCTGTCAAGATACACTAAGAGTCATGTTTCATCCATATAGTTAAAGGAATGTGTTACTTTGTTACAGAAATGATTTAATTGCCACAGATATTTATGATGTGTATCTTTTTCATATTTTAAGTGCTGCTTGTTCAGTGGTATTTTCTGAAATGTCACTATGTCTCTAGAAAATTAAATTTTCTTTTAGTACAGCTTTTTTTTTTCAGTAATGTCCAAAGTGGGATAAATATCTTTTCTGTGCAGTTCTATGAATATTTGTCTAACAACATACAGATCAAAATCATCCATATCACTCATTTGGGAATTTTATGGGCATTTCTTGCTTGGAGTTGTCAATAGAGATTTCTTGTTGCTGAAATGCTTGCTTCACCGTCTTCTATAATGTGTCAAATAGTTGAGAGTGAACATGTGATCATCTGCCATTTATTGCCAAAGGCCTTCTTCATTCTATTGAGCAAGTTAAGGTTAAAATAATTAAATACATATCAGCACTATCTCTCTTGCTTGAGGATGTAATGTCTTTTATTTCAACATTATACTGACTTAACATTTCAAAATGTCAATGTGAAGCAATAGTGAACTAGCAGTAGTGACAAGATAAATGATGTTTATGACTTGCATGTTTTAATTGCAAACATCTTATTCGGAAGAATGATGTCATGTTCATCTTTTGCCAAAATAAATAAATATTATTAAATTTAATAGAAGATGGTTGCATAACTTCTTGACAAATTATTTAGTGTTTAATTAATTACATAGTCATATTATAAACTGATAATTTGGTAATTGTTTAATTCCAGCTCAATAGTTAAATCTGGCTGTATCACTTAAAAATTATTAAATGTTTTCAATTTTTGTAAGAAATTATATTTTATGGTGATTCAGATGATAGCTAACAAGTGAATATAAGTCAGTATACTTTTGTTCATTTGATCTCTCAATTATCCAGTATATCCCTCAGTGTGAATACTTGTGTGCTTCACTTTCCATGAAAATGTTACTCATCTGAAATATTCTATTTTCTTGTTTATTTATATTTCATTTCTGTGTATAGTGCATGTCAGTGTGTCATATTATCATCAGTTTGACTGCCTTCAAAAACAATCTACCAAAGGACACCAGGTAACATCATTCATTTTCTTTAGGTAGGCTTTAGGTCTGTACAATCTCAGTAATCTGGCATCTTTCTGTGCAAGGAACAGCCAGCAGGGGGGGTGTTTTTAGGCCCTTTACCGCTCAGAGAACACAAAAGGCCAAAAGGAACAGCCAGGTTAGCAAGGGTCTAGTGTAATTTGAAAAACATTGACTTTTGTGTTTTCTGTTAATGTACATTTTAATTGTTTTTTATAATTGAACTTTTATAATAAATACATTTTGTCATTATTTATTATTATAATATTGATATTGTAACTTATATGTTATTGTAGAATAATCTTTGAATGCAATTGAATTAATATTTTAGTTTTAAAAGTAGCCAATATAGTACAGAATAGAAAATAATACAAATAATATAATTCGAGTATAAATTGATTTTAAATAATATTTGAATGTAAATAGGGGGTGAGCCAGAAATTGAAGAAAGTCCTATATATGATGACTTTGAAGAGAAACTGAAAGAAGCAATAGATGGTACTAATCAAAAAAGGTAGTTTATATAGTTCAGTTATTGCAATTATTAAAGTAAACATAATTTAGTATAATAATTTATAAATAATTTTCAAAATATTGTAGATTAATATTTTCACAAAAGACAAAAAAAATGAGACTGTAGTTTTGAATGATTTTTCTTTATGATGAAATGATGAGCTATCCATAATTTATTTTCATGTAAAAATATTCAATAAAAATCATTTATTTGAAATTTTAAAATGGAAGAATGATTTACATTTAAATGGAACACTTGAAAAATATAAGAAATAAATTCTTGTTTACATTTATTTTGTCAGATATAAAATTATTTCAAATATATAACTTATTATTTAACTCTAAACAGAAGATTGGCCAAAATTGTCTTAATCTGAGATGAAATTAGCCAAAGGAAAAGTTGTTTAACTGGTTTTCATAGTATCATCTGCCATTTATTGCCAAAGGCCTTCTTCATTCTATTGAGCAAGTTAAGGTTAAAATAATTAAATACATATCAGCACTATCTCTCTTGCTTGAGGATGTAATGTCTTTTATTTCAACATTATACTGACTTAACATTTCAAAATGTCAATGTGAAGCAATAGTGAACTAGCAGTAGTGACAAGATAAATGATGTTTATGACTTGCATGTTTTAATTGCAAACATCTTATTCGGAAGAATGATGTCATGTTCATCTTTTGCCAAAATAAATAAATATTATTAAATTTAATAGAAGATGGTTGCATAACTTCTTGACAAATTATTTAGTGTTTAATTAATTACATAGTCATATTATAAACTGATAATTTGGTAATTGTTTAATTCCAGCTCAATAGTTAAATCTGGCTGTATCACTTAAAAATTATTAAATGTTTTCAATTTTTGTAAGAAATTATATTTTATGGTGATTCAGATGATAGCTAACAAGTGAATATAAGTCAGTATACTTTTGTTCATTTGATCTCTCAATTATCCAGTATAACCCTCAGTGTGAATACTTGTGTGCTTCACTTTCCATGAAAATGTTACTCATCTGAAATATTCTATTTTCTTGTTTATTTATATTTCATTTCTGTGTATAGTGCATGTCAGTGTGTCATATTATCATCAGTTTGACTGCCTTCAAAAACAATCTACCAAAGGACACCAGGTAACATCATTCATTTTCTTTAGGTAGGCTTTAGGTCTGTACAATCTCAGTAATCTGGCATCTTTCTGTGCAAGGANCAGAATTAGCACTGCTAACTCAGAAGTAAACGCACCCATAGTAGTCTATAGATGTGCTATGAGTCCAGGGGCCATATTCTGGTCATCATCTCTTGTCTATCGTCTCTCACAAGCCAGCTGCTGATTGGCTAATCATTTGTTTATGTCTCGAGAGTTCATCATGTCTCTCTAAATGTGATTCTGGACAACTTTTTCTCTCTTTGCTTCTCTTGTTTATCAGAGACGAACAGATAGTTGTCTTTTGACTAGTCTATTGTCTTTCGCCTCGATTTTGTTATATCCAATACGGACGACTGGATGCTACTTGTGCTGTACAATCATATTAGAGAATGTTCTCTATCTAAGGAAAGAATATTTCAAGAGAGAAAATGCTTTTGATTTTTTCCAGTGCCTACTTGGAAACATCACTGATTTTTTTTTCTTTTTTTAATTATCCTACATCAATTACTGAACTATCAAATATGATGTTAATCTTACTTAGATAGTAAAGGAGAAATAGATGGTAATATTTCAAAAAATATCTAAGTACGCACACTTTTATAACTTAGGTTATTAAAATTTTTAGTTTGTTAAGAGACAAATTGACATTATAATCTAAAAATGTTAAAAAAAAAAAAATACATAGTCAAAATTACATGCTTTATTTGAACATGTGCTTTCTTTGCCATGTGATCTATGATTACGTACTCTGCATTTTTGAAAATTTTACAATGTTATTGGTTAAAATTCTATACCATGTTGTGTGCGCAGATAACCCGAACATGTATAATCAACTGAATAGAATTGTGACATCAACAACAAAGATGAGATCATTATGAATGACCAGAATCGCCACTGTGTATGAGAGACAAATTTCGTCTCTTGCTTTGACATCATTCATCATTGAAAGAAGAGATGAGAGATAAGTGACCAGAATACGGCCCCAGAGCTATGGAGTTGTAATTGGAAATTTTGTGTATTGACTCCACATCCTGATGAAAACAGAATTTGTTCTTAATAAATTTGTATGAATTATATTTCTCATTTGACAAATTTATAATTTTAAATATTTGTTTATTTTATATTTGGGTGAAACACTTCAAGATATTTATTGCCTCCTAACTTAACATTGTTATGATTAAAAAAAACTTTCAAAAATCATATATAAATTGAAAACAGATTCAAATTATTTTTCATAAATCTTATGATTTAAAATGCACAAAATGAAATCAGCACAAAATTGAATATCCTTTTTTATGAGTTTTACTTTGAAATTTTGTCATCTATTCTGATTATATTATGAAATTTATTTGGAATAATAATTGTCTTTGAAATATGGTTTTCATTCAAAGAAATATAATTGATGAAACTGAATTTTATACTTCATTTAGATAGCAACAAGTGTCATTTTTAGCTTACAGTTGTAAGCTAAAAATGAAACTTGTTGCTATCTAAGTGAAGTATATAAAACATTATAAAACGTTATAATCAAATTATATAAAACTTAAAAATTTTAAAATACAATTAATTTAATAAATTCCCTGAAGAATTCATTAATTTAATATTGATTTATTAGAGTGACATAAAATTATAGAAATAACAATCTGTTCATCAATTTTTATATAAATGAAAATGAAAATTGCTTTAAGTTTTTAATCTTTATTATAAGATATTTTTTACAAATTGATTATGATTTTGAAGTTTGGTACTGTACTTTCTAAGATATCAAAAAATTTTATATTGCAATATATACAATTATTTGCAATATAAATTTAAATATGATGCACTGATGAGACTTAAAATCAATTTGTTTAGTTCAAAACTAGTTGTCTTCAACTATTAGCAACAAGTTCTTTAAACCCCAAATATGTCTGTTATTTAATCTCATGACATCAAATTACTCATTTTAGTTATTTATTTTATCTGCTTATTTGTTTAACATATGTCATATAACAAATGATGCTCTTTCCAAATAACAGAAAAAAAAAGATTATACTGAAATTTTCTGCATATAATTCACACTAATGTTCATCCTGTGTAAAATAGCTAGAATGAAAATAAAATCATTGTATATCATAACTTGCAACTCTAAAGTTGCCATTGAAAACATGTCATTTAACTAGTATGAAGTTTAGAAGGTTTTGTTTCAGACATTTTATTTTTATCTGTATCTTTCATTCTGTTAGCAATTCATTATAGAGATAATTTTGTGAAGTGAAGAAAATGGAATATTTGAGACTGAAAACTATGTGAAAACTGCAATGTGTGAAAAACACAAAATGTTACCAATTGATAAATTTTTCAATCTTATTTAATTGTACTATTAAAGAGTACACAAAAATTGTCAATGTTTCTTTGTTTCTGTCTTAAAGAGGACTAAAAGTTTAACTCTAAAACATTTATTAAAAAATGAAATAGAATTTAAAAGGTTAAAAAGTCAAACCAATTTTTGTAGAGAGAAAACACTTTATTACATCATATTTATCCCTAAATGCATTTTGCCAGTTACTGGGCTCTTCGGTAGGGCTTGTAAAAATACAATAAAGTTCCAAATAATAAGGTGTTGGTTACGTAATTTATTTATTTTTGCTGAGTAAGATAGTGTTTGATAGTGTTCAAAGTTCCAAATGTCAACTATGATAAAACTCCATTACAGTCACCTATCCTGCGTTTACAACTTTTATACCCGACAAGGTTTACCCAGCATTCCATTGGCAGCACGCCATTATTTAAATTTACAGAGTTACTTTGCATAACAATTGCAAAGTGTTCTTTAAATTTTCTTTTTACACAATTTGTTTCTTTGTATACAATCTTTACTTTATTAATATTAATTTGACTACTATGAGCATTACAATGTAAAAATACTGGTGAAGTACTAACTTAATCTTACTGCAGCAAGATGTTCTGATAGTCTGACTTTTAACTTCCATTTAGTTTCTTCAGTGTAAAAACTTGGAATTCTACATGTTCACTGTAATCTGTATACCACACCTTCTTCTTCTAACAGATGTTTTTTATTAATGTTACTTATTTTCATTAATTCAGATAACCTGATTTTTTGAATAGGAGCTAATTTTATTAAAGTTTCAGAAAAAATTTTTGATATTTTTCATATAATCCTTTAATATATGGAAAAGATACATACTTTTTGATTTCCTGTTTTTTCTTTACTTGATATCTATTTAACATAAAATCATGATACCATTTTTTTAACAAATTTATTGGGTATCCATTTAACAAATACTTCTTATTTACTGTTTTAACTTCACTTTCTCTCACATTAAATTTAGTTGTTCTGGAAAAAATCTTACTTATCTCCATAAAATATATATTCTGTTTTTGACTTACTGGACAATATGATTTAAAATTTATAACTCTTTTAGCATTATACGGTTTTTCATTTTTACAATATTCAAGGTGATAATTAAAGTGTTTAATTGTTATATTAGATAGTTTATTTTATTATATTTTTCAGTTTCATGAGTAAGTTTAATATATGAATTAATTTTATTTGCTTGTTGCAATATTTGATCAGACGATGTTATTTTACTATTATATATGATTACTATATCGTCAACGTACCTTGCAAAAAAATTTTTTCCTGTCAATCTTGATAAAGTTTTGTCCTTATCTATCATAAAGAATTCCACTAACTTTGGGCCACTAATACAACCCACAGAAATACCATCTTTTTGGCGATAATATTTTCCACTTATTGTAAAATAATTTTTATCCAACAAGAAGCTAATAAGATCTATCAAATAGTTTGGAACATTGTACTTATGTAAACTTTGCACAATCATTTTTTTATTAATTAATAGAAGGGTACATTGATACTATCTCTAAACTCATTAATTTATACTCCGGTAGGATTTCTCCTCCTCCTAGTTTTGATATCAAAACATCTGCATTCTTTATACTAAATTCTGAATTTGAAATAGCCTGTAGAGTTTAATATTACCAAAGATGGGCATGAGAAAAAAGGGGAAAGATCCCCAAATAAAAGAGAAAATTGATGACAAAAAAACAGTGCCATCTTGCAGAGTTCGTCATTCATCTTTTCCTCCAAGTAACTTGGATATACCTATCCTGCCAATCACCACACAGATTGACCACCTATGTTCTTTAAATTGTTAAGTTATTAATGCATTAGGAAAGCATAGCAATTCTTCTGTTTTAGAACTGAAATGGATTTAAGTCAGGAAAACAAAAGCATAAATGCAGACAGAAACAGAAAACTTTATAAATAACAGATTGCGCAAAAAGCAAGCTGGTTACTAGAGAGTTTTGTACAGGACAACTTTTAAATTAAGATGTAATACCAGGTTGTTCAATAAGTTTTGTCGTTCGATAATAGGTGGCGCTAGTAGGAGCGTCACTTTATTACTCTAAAAATAGTACTACTATTTCATAAACACGTGTCAAGTTTCAAGTAGATCAGTTAACTCATTGTATATTTGCAGCTGTTCAAAGTCGACGTGTCATTGTATTTTTTTACGATGGAAAAAATCGAATATCGTGCAGTGATAAAATTCTTATTTTTGGAAGGTGTAGCACCAAAACAAATTCATGAACGATTGTTAAAAGTGTATAAGGACTCTTCACCTTCAATCAGAACAGTAGAAAGATGGGTTGCTGAATTTAAACGTGGTCGTACGAGTCTTGAAGACGATCCACGTGAAGGGCGTCCAAAAAGTGCATCAACACCAGAAATCGTAGCAAAAATACAGCATATGGTTTTGGAAGATCGTCGATTAACCGAGAGAGATTTAGTAGAAGCCCTAGGGATTTCGTTAGGCAGTGTGAGCAATATTTTGGCCGAAGTTTTGGGTTACAGAAAGCTGTGTGCACAATGGGTGCCGCATTCGTTAACTATGGAACAAAAACACATTCGAATGCAACTTTCTCAGCAACATTTGGAGCGTTTTAGAAAGGATAAAAAGGATTTTGTGCGTCGTTTCATCACTATGGATGAGACATGGGTCTACCACCATGATCCTGAATCAAAACAAGAGGCTAAAGAGTGGTGTGAACCCGGTACTTCGGCTCCGAAGCGTGTTAGGGTCCAGAAATCGGCCAAGAAGGTGTTAGCATCAGTTTTTTGGGATGCAAAAGGAATTTTGTTTGTGGATTACCTCCAAACTGGTAAAACAATAAACTCAGATTATTATTGTAACCTTTTGGACCAGCTAGATGTAAAAATTCGTGAGAAAAGACCTGGTTTAAAAAAGAAAAAAATCATTTTTCATCAAGACAACGCCCCCTCTCACACAGCTCAAAAAACCATTGCGAAAATCAGTAAATTAAAATACGAATTGTTGCAACATCCTCCCTATTCGCCAGATTTAGCTCCCTCTGACTTCTGGCTGTTCTCACATCTAAAAAAATTCATGCGTGGGAAACGATTTTCATCGAACGAAGAGGTAATAGCAGCCGTGGAAGCGTATTTTGACAGTCTTCCGGATTCTCACTTTAGGGATGGAATCCATAAATTAGAAGATCACTGGAACAAGTGTATTGAAGTTCAGGGAGATTATATTGAATAATAAAATGTATTTCAAACCATAAAATCATGTTTTTCTTATCGAACGACAAAACTTATTGAACAACCTGGTAATGTGTCAAGTTATAAACTAACACATTCTTCACACTTCACACAATATAAATGATTTAAACATAATAATAATAAACATTTAAATCAAATATTTGCTGTTCAGACAATAATTCTGAAATTAAATTACAAATTGAATATTATCATTTTCTAATAAAAACAAATTTCAAACAAAAATATTATCTTTGGATTAATAGCTCAGTTAAGATTTAGAATAATTAACTCAAAATTGAAAATTCTGTTGATTAACTACAGTTTCATCTTATTCATATTTTATTTAACATCTAGTTGGTATATTGTTTAAGATATCAGAAAAATATTAATATATAATAAGGTTACATATGGTTTGATTTTTGTTAAAATTAAACTTATAATGAAATAGAAAATTTTTAATTTTTAAATTACTGTAATATTTTATTATAGTGCTAAAGGCAGACAGGTGTGCCTAGAAGCTGTTAGAAAAGCATTATCTACAAGATATATGTGTGATTTTATTGTAGAAAGGTAAGATAGATAAATTCCATTTTTTTTTTAAATTGTGTTTTATTTATTATTGTTCTGTAATAAAATGTTTGTTAGCATTGGATATTGTAAATCTTGCTTTTAATTCATTTTAATATATTTAAAAAATATTTTTATTGAAGATTATAAAAACGTTTTCAAAAATTAATGCATGTATATTTTTATTTTTAAAAAATTTACTTGCTTGCATAGCTTTCTGCAACTTTTCTTTGATTTACAAATCATTATCATTTTTGTAGACCAAAGAACCTGAGAACCCACATTAAAGAAACCAATATTTACTTTTTACTGTCATTTTTAGAACCTAAGAACCACATTAAAAAAGGTAAACTTTAATATGAAATCTTAATACAAATTTAATAGGCCATGCAGTTCTAATAAGGGCAACCATGACCTTACATGGCTACATATGTTTTCATTTTATTTTTTATATGTAGAAATCATAACTGAAGTGCTTTTAGAAAACTGTTCAGATTTTGAAAACAGATCAAATATGCTTTAAGAATATATACAATTCATTACATTTTAATAAAATATATGTAATGTCATAAAGAAAAATGTATTCACTATATTGAACAANTATAAAAACGTTTTCAAAAATTAATGCATGTATATTTTTATTTTTAAAAAATTTACTTGCTTGCATAGCTTTCTGCAACTTTTCTTTGATTTACAAATCATTATCATTTTTGTAGACCAAAGAACCTGAGAACCCACATTAAAGAAACCAATATTTACTTTTTACTGTCATTTTTAGAACCTAAGAACCACATTAAAAAAGGTAAACTTTAATATGAAATCTTAATACAAATTTAATAGGCCATGCAGTTCTAATAAGGGCAACCATGACCTTACATGGCTACATATGTTTTCATTTTATTTTTTATATGTAGAAATCATAACTGAAGTGCTTTTAGAAAACTGTTCAGATTTTGAAAACAGATCAAATATGCTTTAAGAATATATACAATTCATTACATTTTAATAAAATATATGTAATGTCATAAAGAAAAATGTATTCACTATATTGAACAATGAGCAAAATCTGATCCAGTTGCACATACAGGTAACCCCCATATAACACTGCACTTCTATAGCACGGATTCACTCTAACACGGTTCGAGAATTGGTACCATCCCCCGTATAACACGGTACTTTTATAGCACGGATTCACTCTGACACGGTTCGAGAAATGGGTAAAACCCTCGTACAACATGAAATGTAATAAATTTTTACATACTTAAGTACTAATAGTTCACGAAAATTATTATTTTCGTGAACTATTAGTACTTCAGTGTGTAAATTTTCTTTTCTCGTCTCCATACACATGGTCCTTCGCGAAAATTGTTTCAATTTTGCCAGATCTCGACGCTTCTGCTTCTGGTGTTGCCAGATGTTTTTCCCTTATTCCATAAGTGCTTAGCACCATATAAGGAAATTTATAAAGATCTTTTAACTAGAAGCAAGCAATCTAAAATTACATACACTTTTTGCAAAAGGTAAAGCATGAATCTGAAAATAATGCAGAAAAATGCTCAGAGGATAACGATAACTTGCCAAAAATAAAACGCTCTCGGTTAGTAGTGCTTTTAGTGATGACAAAGAAAACATTGTTTAATTTATATTAATATGTATCACTTAAGAAAATTTTAATAAAGATATTTATCTTAATTATGAAAATATAGTAGCATGTTTTTTAATTTTTGGAACCTAACCCTCCTTTTAGTACTAGTTCTTTGTTTCGCATAACACGGCAATTTTTTGGAACGTAACTACCGTGTTATACGGGGGTTACCTGTATTTCCTACTTGCTGCAATGATGTTTATTGCAAACCAAACAGTATCTGACATATCCTCAAATTCAAAAGAGATGCTGATCAAGGAAGTGCTGTCAATAAACAGAATTATTAGTTAAGGCCAATTAACAATTTATGAAGAACTAATTGTCTACATGGCTTTATTTGGCACACATTTATGATACCAGTCTGGGAGTTAGGATATCTTTTCTGTCATTCAGAAATAATAATGTTTCTAATTAATATTTACAATATATTTTACAGAAGATTTGTTTAACCTGTCCTATGTTGATCCCGAAAATTTTCGGGTTGACCTCATTGACCTGCGTGGGCGATCCCGAATATTTCCGTGTTTACATTGGAACGTTTTTGATACTAGATGTCGCTTTGTGTTGTAATTTTTATATTAAAACGAACTTTTAAAATAAAATTTTTTTCGTTTTTAGATTATTCAATATATTTATTTTGTTTGTAAAACATTAAAAAAAATAATTTTTTATGATACAGTAAACATGATTTTTATTTAAAAAAAAAATAGGCTTAACATCAACGAAAACTCAACATGGTGTCACATGCAACAAATAAAAATTTCAACATCGAATAGGTTAAAATGTTAAGCCAGTACATGAATACATATAAAAAGTAATAATAATGAAATAAAGTTAGTATTCATTTTCACAATGTAATATCACTTATATGGCAAACCACAATCAAATCTTGATTTTGCCTTAACAAATATTTGTCTCTGAAATTGTAATATTAAATCAATTTTGTCATTAAATTGAATTATCTCAAACAATAAAAACTATATATGTTAATGAGGTCTGCCTTATACCTGTCTGAGGATTGATTCTTGTATCTGTTGGCCATTGGAGACATGATCTTTGCACTTACCGACACAGAGAGGTGATCCAAGAACAAATTAGTCACCATTGTTTGCATTATTCTTGTTTTGTTTCATATTTTGCACCTATTTTCAGTTAGGTGTACACAATGCTGATTGGGCTGAAATTTGGAAAAATTGTAGACTTATAAATTTCCACTGTCATCCATCCATCTTTCCTTAATCTCAAGAACACATTTAGGTAGATGAAAGAAGAGACCATGTATGAAAACCTTAGGGATAGGAGGCTCCGATTAACTATATAAGAACTTATATAAACCAAAAGTCGTGTTATTTCAATTGAAAAAGTTTCCCCTGAAAGGAGTTAGATGATTGGCATGAGTGTATTGCTAACAGGAAATGTTTGATGTTCAGAGGTAATACTAATTTGAGGTCGAGAGTATATATTTTAAATTAAATAAATTAAAAATATGATTAAAAATTTTAGCCTGGCATTGTGATGATATCACAAAAAATAATTGTTTGTTTTATTTTTGACCCCTAGGCCTAAATTCTGTTAGGTGCACTTAGTTGCATTAGAGAAAATTGGTTGGTTGGTGTTTTATGGTGCAAGGGCCAAACAGGCTAAGCTATGCCATGCATTAGAAAGAGAGCATGAACATTGTCACTTTAATGCCTCTGTATATTGAAAACAAAGTTGTGGACTTCTATTTTTTCATTTAAATGGACCCTCATTATACTTTTGGATTCCTTGTCACAATTAATGGAAAATGGCAAAGTTTCATCAAAATTGATCCATTAAATTTTAAGAATGAACTTGATTCTATAAGCCCATAGAAGGCATGCTAGCAACTATAGAACATTGCTTTGCGAGATACTGCTTTATTGCACACACTTGTGCTACGATTTTATATCTGAAATAAAGTCATAGGCTCCCATTTTTTATAACATATTATTTTTGGATTCCACATTTCAATTAATTGGAAATGCCAAAGTTTAATGAAAATTGATCAAACAGATTTTGAAAATGAACACAATTCTGTAAGCCACGTAAAAGAGTCTTTGCTAATGTTCTGCCTGAAAATTTTTTTATTTTTCATTTTCCGTATGTAGAAATCATAGTTCAAACTGACTTTTTTTTTTTCTCTCTTTAAGTTTGAGAGTTGGAGGTTTTACTGTATATCTGTATGATGAATTCATTAAAATAATTGTAGTTTCTGTAACTTGAAAATTTTTCTTCTCACTTCCATTTTGAGTTATTGAAAGTCTACTGTACCAATGTACTAATAGTTAATTTTGATTATAAGTTATATAATATAATGCTTTTATAATTATACCGATATTATATATTTTCTATAGGAAAATCACAGTTTGTGACATGCTTGAGAGAAGCTTAAAACGAGGAAAGGGAGATGAACAAGGTAGTGCTGCTCTTTTAACAGCTAGCATTTGTATCCAATTAGGAGTTGGAAGTGATAGTGAAGAAATATTTTTGGAATTACAACCTTACCTTGTTAAAGTATTGCTTGATCCTACAGCACTTCCTGAAACACGCCAGAAAGTAAGATTATAAACAATATCATCTTATATTCATATATATTTGCCATTTTAGGATTAGAAAAAAGAAAATTCAAAGGTTATTTAGCATAATAAAGCATTGATTAAATTGAAAGTTTCAAATAAACAAATATATTTATATAAATTATAATTACTTTATATTTAAATATTACTTTCTCTGTTTTGAAATAGTTGTCATATTTATAAAAATTCTTGTTTTCATTTCTTTCTTTATCTACAGAAACAGTAACTTGTGTTTATTTCATGATAAAGATTAAATGTAATGTAATAACTAGACAGCAGATTTTAGACAAATGCCTATTTTTTTCCTTGGCATATACATGGCTAAGATTTTGTATGAACACTTTTCGTGAACATTTAGACCGAAACAATGGTATTTTATAAATTCCTAAAAATGCCTATTTTTGCCTAAAACATAAAGTTTAGTCTGTTTTCATATTTTTAGAAAGTTTTTATTAATTTTTCATTTCATTTTACACAAAGGTTTACTTTAATTCTTAAATTAAACTGCTTAAGTTTCATTTTTTCCTAAAAATGCAATCAGAAAAATTCATTTTTTTATTATTATTGATTACTTATATTTAAGTCCCAGTGGATGCATATTCCAAGCAGAAAAAATTAGAATACAATAATAACGGAAATAAATTACACCCCCTGATGCAATTTTATAGTAATAAAATTAAAACTGTCTGAAATATTTTAAAATAAATTGTTTTATTTAATAAATATAGCATTAGAGATGCTTTATTTGTCATTTTTAGACAGTGGATTTTAGGTAAATGCCTATTTTTTCCTTAGCATATACATGACTAAGATTTTGTACTAACTACTCCAGTGAACAGTTCTTCAATATCAAAAACTTCTGGCCATCTTAGCAGACAATACAGTTTGTGTAACTAAAGACAAGAAAATTTTGAATGACATTTATGTTCAGAACAAGTTGATGTACATCACGTGTTATTTCACATTCATTGCAGATACTATTACTGCTCTTGAAAGTAGTGGGAAACATATATATGAACAAATTGATCTCCTTAACAGAGCAAACCAGAAAATTTATGATGCATCTGACACTGCTGCAAAAAAAAGTGAAAAAAGAGTTGAAAGCAGTACTTCAGAAGAGACTTTGATTAAAGTGCTTGTTTATTGTGGCTGATATTTTGGCAAGAAAGAAGTTGCAAAAGTGACTTCCCAGTTCATCTTCTTCGAAGGTTGAAATATTGTCCGAAGATGACAGATTATTTTCTGCATATAAATTAATTCTCGGTGACAAATGTTACAACTTTTCTATTGAAAATTTGGAAAAAGTGCTTGTAATAAATTATGAAGCTAACTATGGGAAACAGAGCGAATAAAAAATGTAAAGATAATTGTTTGTCTACTTTTGTGTTTGTGTCATTCTGAATATGTGCATTTTTATTTGGAATACATATGTTAAATAAAAAAATTCATTGTCCTGATAAGAACATTACTTGTTTATTGTGCAAATTTTGACTGCCTATTTTTTGTTTATAAAGCCTAAACAACGGAATTTTAGAGCTTATTTTAAGCGCCTAAGACGCCACTATAGATCTGCTGTCTAGTAATAACTAAACACTTTAATTAATATTAACACAATTTTGGGCATTTTAATGTCTTGTTTGTTTTCAGAATCAGGAAATTGTTTGGTTAATAATGAAATTAGTTTTTTTTTTTTTTGAGTGCTTTAAGATTACAAAGCACTATTATGAGTATTATTTTTTTCTGATTCTTTTTTTTTTTTCTTTTCCTCAAATTTTTATTCATTCATATAATTTTAGAAGTAATTTTGCAATGACACTGTGTGAACTTTAAAACTTTGTTTTTCGGTGATTGTAAGTTTGCTTTAACAAATAAGTAGAAGAGAAGAGAAGCGGTGAATTCTTTTATTTGTTTCAAGTGCAAGTGCATAGGAAGTCTTCATTAATCCAACTAAAAGTCAATTTGATAGAACTATCAAAAATTATAAGATTTGCAAATGTGACAACTGTTTTGGACAGATAGAGTTATATATGTATTAATTGTATCAAGATTCAAATGATAATTTGGATTAAGACATTAAAATTATTTTTGCAAAAATGTTTTTATAGTTATTGCTAAAAAGTTTTTTTCTCCTAGAAACATTTCATTATTAATATAATTATTTCATCTTATCATTTAAAATTTAGCATATGATTTAAATATACAGGATTATACATGACATGCCAAACTTCAGTATGTTTAAGACAATAAACAATATAATAAATATGAATTTGAAAATCAAGGGGAAATGATATAAAATTATTTACTTCACTTCTGTAATAGAAATGCCAATAGCTTTAAAACTTTAGAAGTTTTCTTTGACAGATGTATTCTTTTTCACAATGCTATTATTCATTTAACACTATATACTGAAAAGTATTTTTTATGCTTAGAACCTTTAATACAAGACTTCAAATGATTAAAAGGAATAAAAAGTTTATGAGAGTGCTTATTAAGGGCTGAATTTGTATGCATTTTTTTAAAAATGATACGATGCTAAAACTTCAAACATGATTTGAATCCAAGTAAATCATATTAAGGTTGTTTGATAATGCAGTGTGATTTATGAAATATGCATTGTGCATGTTAAAAGCACCAGTAAAATACTAAAACTTGTAGATTGAAATTCATACATGCTTTACTCTTTGAGAGCAAATCTTACTAATATCTATTACATCACATTTTTTTAGGTGAGAAGGAATGAACATACAATAATAGGTGGTGACACAAGGGATTTGAAAATTATGACATCAAAAAACATACTTTGTTTAGGAGCTACAAGTCAGTTACAAATAAAATTAAATGCTCAATAAAATATTATATCTTTCTATGCTACCTAATCAATCATTATTGAATTTATTTCTATATACAATAGAACTTCATTTTAACGGATTGCTCAGGGTGCTGAAAATCATCCATTATTTCAAAAATCCATTATATTGCAAACAACAGATTTCTTGCTCTCCCAGAAAAATATCCATTATTTGAAAAATATTTTGTTTTTTAAACCCCCTACATAAAAAAACACCTGTACTCAAAATTATTCACTCTCTTAAGATTTCTATCATTTATTTTACATAAACACACATATTACGAGATTGTACATTATGCCATAACAAAGCTGACAGAAACTATATATTATAGGCTAAAAAGTGACAAATTATGTATGATCATTAGCACTTTACAATATATTAAAAGACTCATCCATCTTAGTTTGGTTTGATGACATGATGTTTCTGGACTTCTATTGATGGCATTGTCAGTACAAAATGTTACTGTTATGTGGGCACAGTTTCAAGATGTGATATTCTCAAACATGTGTCTGCAACAAATGTGCTGCACACTTTTGTTGCACATATATGCATATCTGGAAGTGTTAAGTATAAAGTAGTTTCCCTCCATTAATCAATGTGCTATAGGAGGGCACTAATGCGCTGCTGTAACATTGGCAGTGAGAACCGTGACAATTATCTGCTTAGTTTGCGCAGTGTACAATGTACTTTTTGAATTCAATATCCAGAAACATCCCGTTATTAATGAAATGTTGAAAAAAAAAAAAAAGTGGTGATTACCAAAGATGGAGCTAGAGAAAAATCCATTACTCCAAGTTACTGGATCTACTAAAAAGAGGTAAAATGACATTGATTTAGAGAAAAAGTCCATTATTCTGAAAAATTGGTTCTGTAATCCATCAAAACAAGATTATACTGTATACAATTGTTTACAAAACCATTGAGGATGGTTAGGTTAACCTAGATTCCTCATCCTATAGGTGTGTCACCAATTTAAAATAAAGTAGTTGTATAATTTTGTTTATTGCCCTGTTCAAATGATGAGAAATAAGTAAATGTTCTTAAAGTTATTAACTAATTATAGATTTATTATCAAAGTTGATAGTAATGTTTTGGTCCCAATTGATAACATGAACTCTACTAAAATTAGTTTCAGTACAACTAGAACTTCCTGTTTTGGCATGTCATGTTTCACTGGAATAAAGATATTTCAATGCTTATTTTTAGCAAGAAATGATTTGTGGTATACATTACAATAAATTTTTTCATCTGTTTTAAATATCAAGAATTTGAACTCCTATACAGGTACATACTTTCTCAGCAATTCACCACTAGTTTTTGCACCTGTTAAATATACGGAAGTTTGACTATCATCCTCATATTTAATTAAACATATTTACAACATTTTTTTGAAAAATTTAAATTTTACATTATTATATTAACAGATAATTTAAATAAAACCTTTAGAAAGATCAGTTGTAACTGGTGTGTATTGAAAGAATGTAAGTACAGTACATTAGAAATGGCTACAAATGTCTTTCACAAGAGTAAGATACTAATTACCATTTAATCAAGTTATTTTGATAAATAAATTATTATAATTATAATTATATATAAATTTTTTTCTGTAGAATAATTGAAATTGTATTAAACAATATATTTTTAGTTTTGATATCTACTTAACATTTTCTACTGAATTTCTGAAGTGATTCTAAAGACAACTGTAATTTAGTGTTTTAAACCATTAATATTCTATTTTCAGGATTGGATGTTTAATTTGATATAGATGTAAGTCTAACTTAGTCAAAGAACGGGTTTGAGGTGTTTGTTAAAGGGACAATGCATATGTAAACAACACTGTAAAATCATTTATATTTAGAGGTGAATTGGTCCATCAGCACTTTTGTGTTTACAGCTTTCATTCCACACAAATAACAACAAGATTTTCTCATCATGCAATGGGATGCTGAACTTTTGATTGATCACTCAACTGAAATAAGAAATAAATGGAGAAAGTGGAAACTTAGAGTTGAGGAAAATACATCACTGTAGTAGAAATCTGGAGTTGCATAAGTTGTTCTCTGATAGGGATGAGAAAGATTGTGATGGAAAGTTTGTGGCCTATGGCAGCTGTCTGCAAACTACATCCAAGAGATAGAAATGACTCCCTGCGGATAAAAAGTTCTGAAAGATGTTTGAGGACATTCACCTGTTTATCATAACACCTCCATATTTATACTAATATATATTGTAAACTTTTTCTTCTTTATATTTTTGTATTTTTACTTCTTTATACTTTTTGTATTTTTATTTCTTTATTTTTAAATAATTGAAGTTATTAGATCATTTATTTTAGAAATTTCTCAAGATAGGAAATATATAATTACATATTTATTTGCTTATTTTTTACTTTTTACTTTATTTAAATTACTTACATAAAATTAATATTTGACTTTTTATTTTAGTGTGCCACTGCTTTGGGTGTCTGCTGTTTTATTACTGATGTTGGAGGAGATGTAAGTTTTGCAATGGAATTTTAAACATATTTTGTGGAAAATTTATTTGGTCAATCTGAAAACCTCTACTTAACATGAAATGATTTCATGTTTAGTAGTGGTTTCCAGATTTACCAAATAAATGTAAGCTTTGTTCAAAAATAGTGAAATCATCTAGAAATGACAGGAGAAATAATGGGAAATAACATATTTTCTGCTATTCTAGATGCTTTCACTATTGAACAATAATGATAATAAAAGTTAAGTGAGTCGAGAAGTATTTGAAGAATTTTGGAACAAATTTTGAGTAAAAAATCTTGCAGAATGTCTTACTATAATTCATAGTAATTAGATTATTTAACTTGAAGAGAAGGTTCAAGCAAGTATTGTTTATAGTATCATGATTAAATAAATTATCTGATTGTAATTATTGACTTAGTTAAAAAAATTATTTTTAGTTAAGATTTATTACAATATATCATATTTTAATCATTTATCAATATCAGTATGTCAGAATAGCAATACAATAGACACATTATAAATCAGCCATTCCTTGTAAACTGGTGTGCCAGATTAACAAGAATACTGGATTACTGAGTATGTAGGCCTAAAGGCAATGAATAGTTTTACAGTCATCTTTTTGGTACAGATTGTTTTTAGGTAGGCGGGCAAGTAATATAACATGTTGACATTCAAAACTACATAGAAATAAAAACTGAATAATCAGGAAAACAGGATGTGTGACATCACCTAACATTTTTATAGGAAATCACATTGGAAGGTATCCTTGATATTTGAGACACTGGAGTAGCAAGAGTCTATTATATCTTTCAGAAAAAAATTAACTTTATTTTATATCAGAGAATTAGAGTTTTGTTTGCTGATTAACCTGTCCTACGTTGTTCCCGAAAATATTCGTGTTGACCTCATTGACCTGAGTGGGTGATCCCGAATATATTTGTGTTTACATCGGAATGTTTTTGATATGAGATGTTGCTATGCATCACAATTTTTATATTAAAACAAACTTTTAAAATATAATTTTTTTGTTTCTATATTATTCAATATATTTATTTTGTTTGTAAAACATAAAAAAATAATTTTTTACGATACAGTAAACATGGTTATCATTAAAAAAAAAATTAGGCTTAACATCGACGAAAATTCAACATGGCGTCACAGGCAACAAATAAAAATTTCAACAGTGAATAGGTTAATATGGTAGAATCTTACCTTATATTTAAGAAACTATTTTAAATATTTTTTCACTTATGTGATATTAAAAAAATACAGAAACAGAATGATTATTGCATTTAAAATATTCTAGATACTTATACTTTATCTCAGTATTAAACACTCATTGCACTCATTTTAACACTATTTGTAGCATGTTAGGAGAAATTAGAGATTGATTCCTGTGTGTTAAGAATTGACTTGTTTTCTTTCTCATAAAATTGTTTTGTTGGGTTGTATTATATATTATTTTACAAGTTTCATCATTATGTGGGCACAGTTTCAAGATGTGATATTCTCAAACATGTGTCTGCAACAAATGTGCTGCACACTTTTGTTGCACATATATGCATATCTGGAAGTGTTAAGTATAAAGTAGTTTCCCTCCATTAATCAATGTGCTATAGGAGGGCACTAATGCGCTGCTGTAACATTGGCAGTGAGAACCGTGACAATTATCTGCTTAGTTTGCGCAGTGTACAATGTACTTTTTGAATTCAGTATCCAGAAACATCCCGTTATTAATGAAATGTTGAAAAAAAAAAAAAAGTGGTGATTACCAAAGATGGAGCTAGAGAAAAATCCATTACTCCAAGTTACTGGATCTACTAAAAAGAGGTAAAATGACATTGATTTAGAGAAAAAGTCCATTATTCTGAAAAATTGGTTCTGTAATCCATCAAAACAAGATTATACTGTATACAATTGTTTACAAAACCATTGAGGATGGTTAGGTTAACCTAGATTCCTCATCCTATAGGTGTGTCACCAATTTAAAATAAAGTAGTTGTATAATTTTGTTTATTGCCCTGTTCAAATGATGAGAAATAAGTAAATGTTCTTAAAGTTATTAACTAATTATAGATTTATTATCAAAGTTGATAGTAATGTTTTGGTCCCAATTGATAACATGAACTCTACTAAAATTAGTTTCAGTACAACTAGAACTTCCTGTTTTGGCATGTCATGTTTCACTGGAATAAAGATATTTCAATGCTTATTTTTAGCAAGAAATGATTTGTGGTATACATTACAATAAATTTTTTCATCTGTTTTAAATATCAAGGATTTGAACTCCTATGCAGGTACATCCTTTCTCAGCAATTCACCACTAGTTTTTGCACCTGTTAAATATGTGGAAGTTTGACTATCATCCTCATATTTAATTAAACATATTTACAACATTTTTTTGAAAAATTTAAATTTTACATTATTATATTAACAGATAATTTAAATAAAACCTTTAGAAAGATCAGTTGTAACTGGTGTGTATTGAAAGAATGTAAGTACAGTACATTAGAAATGGCTACAAATGTCTTTCACAAGAGTAAGATACTAATTACCATTTAATCAAGTTATTTTGATAAATAAATTATTATAATTATAATTATATATAAATTTTTTTCTGTAGAATAATTGAAATTGTATTAAACAATATATTTTTAGTTTTGATATCTACTTAACATTTTCTACTGAATTTCTGAAGTGATTCTAAAGACAACTGTAATTTAGTGTTTTAAACCATTAATATTCTATTTTCAGGATTGGATGTTTAATTTGATATAGATGTAAGTCTAACTTAGTCAAAGAACGGGTTTGAGGTGTTTGTTAAAGGGACAATGCATATGTAAACAACACTGTAAAATCATTTATATTTAGAGGNAATAATTTGAAAGAAGTGTGATTTCCGTATGAAAAAGTAAAATGAAAAGAAAACAAAGATACAATGAGATAAAGCAAAGTAACTGTGGACTATGGATGACTGGATAAAACTGATAATCGGTGATGAATCACAAATTTCCATTAATCATGGAGAAGTCAGAACCTTTCTATGGTATTGTTCTAAGTATATAAGGATGACTGCCTAATTTAGGGTTGTGTGTCAGGTAAAAGATCCATTGTTACATCAGCACTTAATGCCCAGGTTTACAGTGATGTTTTAGAGAGCTTTCTTATTCTATCCATTGAAAATGTTTGATAATGTTGTTATTTTTCAAGATGAAAATGCATCTTGTCACAAGGCTTGAACTGTTGAAAATGTTCTTCACCAACAGCATATCAATTCAGTGGACTGACTAGCAAACAGTCCAGATCTCAATCCACTAGAAAACATGGAAATTTTAGAAATTGGTTCAGGACAAGGAAGTCAGAACCTTTCTATGGTATTGTTCTAAGTATATAAGGATGACTGCCTAATTTAGGGTTGTGTGTCAGGTAAAAGATCCATTGTTACATCAGCACTTAATGCCCAGGTTTACAGTGATGTTTTAGAGAGCTTTCTTATTCTATCCATTGAAAATGTTTGATAATGATGTTATTTTTCAAGATGAAAATGCATCTTGTCACAAGGCTTGAACTGTTGAAAATGTTCTTCACCAACAGCATATCAATTCAGTGGACTGACTAGCAAACAGTCCAGATCTCAATCCACTAGAAAACATGGAAATTTTAGAAATTGGTCAGGATCATTGGTCCATGCCGCAAATCAGATCACTTGACTGCTATTTAGATAAGCTATTAATAGCAAATATTGTTTTTCATTAGTGAAATCCATGCCTGAAAGAACTAGGGCTATCATAAAAGCTTGAGGTGGTGCAGCAGCATATTATTTAAGTTGATTAATTCCATAATTTTTCTCAGTTTTAAGTGATTTGTAAAATTTTTCGTATATGTAAAATGAAAAAATTTTATTTAATTTATAAGTTGTTATTTCAATTGTTTAAGTATGACTTAAACAATTGAAATAACAACTTAACAACAAAAAGTTTGAATGTTATTAAACTCTTTTGTATTAATTGTTTGTTTTGTTTATTTGCTACATGCTTAAAAAACTGCAAAACATGTCTTTAAAATGAACTGATTCCATAATTTTTTCCAAGGTTGTTGTTATTTTACCAAAATGTAATTATATGCTGTTTAGCCAGAGGAAAGAACATTTTTATGCATCATGTAGGTTACTGGGTAGTCAGAATATTTTGACATTTTTGACAAAAAATTTGTCCATAAATTCTAACTATAACTGCCTTTTAACGATCAAAAATCAATTATTGATTGCTTAAACACTTTTGGAGTTCAGTGATTCTGTTCTCAGAATTATTCCCTTACAGTTAATTATCATTACAAATCAGAAAAAATCAAACTAACAATTTTTAAAAAGTAAATAATTTTTAAAAATTTCAGAACCTAAACATTTAAAAATGTAGATTCCAATATAAAACTTGTTAATAAATATTAATCACTATTGTGATTTTTAATTAGCCAATTTAATAATAATTTCATCTGTTTGTTATTTTTACAAAGTTTAACTTTAAATGACAATATTAATTGAATTGTATAAAGTGAAAATGTTGGATTTAAAATAATATAAAAAGTGTAAAAAGTAAAAATACTTAAATAGGTTACAAAAACATTTTTTTCTTTATTAGCAAGGTTTTATCAGTTTATATTTCATAGAATAAGAATGAAAATTTGTTTTTATAATAACAGACTTTATAATTAATCACTGAAGTGAACAATAATTTATTGTTTTTACTTTCAGTCATTTAAAACGATTGCCTGAATTACTAGAAAGTTCAGACTTAGAATTAAGAATAGCTGCTGGAGAATGTATTGCTATATTTTATGAATTAATAAGAGAATATAAAAATGTAAGTTATTTTTGTATTTGAAATATTAGTCAATATGTAAAAAATCACTACAGGTTAAATTGCTTTTTATGAAAAGCAATTTATTTGACTTCAAAATTTTTGTTTTGAAGTCAAATTTTCATAAAATTGAAGTTAAATGTTTGAAGTATTATGTAATTATTCCTAACATAAAGATAAGTATTTTAACATACAATAAAGTAATAACTTAATATCAGTTTGCTTATTAGTTTTAACAGGGAAATATGAGGGATATTCCAAGGTACACACTTTAATTGTAACTTAATGACAAATTAAAATATATAAAAATATCTATATGAAACTATAATGTCTAAGCCATTTTCTTATATGAGGGCTGTTCAAAAAGTATCGGACCTTTGGTCGGCAAAAATACATTTATTGATTTTGAGGTACAAAACCCTAATTCCCTTCAAAGTAGTATCCTTGGTAGTGTATACACTTCTCCCAGCATTCCTGCCATTGCTGGAAACACTGCTAGAAACGCATCTTTTGGAATGGCCATCAGCCGGTCTGACGCATTCCGCATGATGTTTTCTCTCGACTAAAATCGGGTTCCTTTTAGCGGCATTTTTAGCTTGGAAAATAGCCAAAAGTCACACAAAGAAATGTGGGGAGAGTACGGAGCGTTACGAACCACAGGAGTGTTGTGTTTGGCAACGAAAGCCCAAATCAGATGCATAGAATGGGTGGATGCGTTATCACGATGGAGCTGGCAAGTTTTGATCGACCACAGATCCGGTCATTTGCGTTGCACAGCATCGGAAAGACGACGAAGGACCTCCTGGTAGTAATCCTTTGCGATGGTCTGGCCTTGTGATGCGTATTCACGATACACCACCCCACGAGAGTCGAAAAAACTGTCAACATGACCTTGATATTGCCGCGGACCTGCCGCGCTTTTTTTGGCCTCGAGGATCGTCCCCGAAAGCCTGCTGAATCTTGTGAAAGGTTTTTGGCAAAATTTGATGTAATATCACTGCTCACGTTGTTCAGTCATTTTCCAACTTAGTGGAATCCGACGAGCGCTCACTACTTGCCCTCACTTATAGGCCGACTGCCAACGACTGGCGCTTCCTGCAGGCGGGAAAAAATTCAGAACTGTGAATGACTGTCCCTTCCACAGCTCCATTGAAAGAGGCCTCTCGTGCATCATTGGTTTATGCGGAAAAAATAAAAGTCCGATACTTTTCGAACAGACCTAGTATATTCATCAATTTTTTTAAAATACTTTCCCAATGAGACAAGGGCAAAAACTTTCATTTTAAAATCACTGCATTTTTATCTTGCTATCATTAGAAAAGTTAGCCACATAAGTCAAGATACTTTTTGAAAGGTTCAAAAAGATGATAGAGGTTACTAAGTTTGGCTATGTGCAGTGTTCTTTTTTTACTTCCTAGCAATATGTTTTTAGCCAAGCTGAATGAAGTCAGATGTGCAATATTGCTAATCATTAGAAATTTTTGTACCATGGATATGCAGTAATACCTTGACTTATGCTACCCCGACTTACGCGAACC